GACTGCATTTGGGAGAGGTGGGCGGCCGGGAGCTGCGGGCTCTCCCCCAGGGGAGGATGAGGTAGCGAAGGGGACGGGGAGGCTCCAGGGAGCTTCTGCTGCCCTGCAGGTAACTGAAACAGAGAAGGAAAGAGGAAGAAGGTTAGTCGGAAGCTCAGGAAGGAGTTCTGCCCTCGAAGATGCCCGTCATTTGTTATTTAGGTGTCTCTCGGCTCCCTCAAACAGGACGGCGAGCCGTGGATGGATTCAATGTGAAGAAAGGCTAAAAAGAAAGGGACCTTTTAACTTGGAAGAGAATGACTGAGGAGAAAACTCCATGCAGATTTATACAATCAGGAATAGCAGAAGAAAACGGAATACATCTCTGATGTACAGGAGACCCCAAAATGATTAGGAAGTGAGTTTAAAATGAACAAGAGGAAATACTCTTAAATATGCCATGTGGAATGACACTACTGAACTCCATATTGTTGGGAGTTATTGGGATCTTCTGGAAGCCAACATTTAAATAGATTAAAAAGGGAGTAGCCAAACTCCAAGAATATAGATATCTTGATACTATTAAACATAATGATCCAGATGCAATTTCTGATTCAGGGTGCCCAAAACCATCGGTTGCCACAAGCCGGGACACATTCCAAAGAAGGATTTACTCTGAATATGCCACATTTCTTTTGCTCTGTTTTGCTTATTTATTTATATATTTATTTGCTGCTATTATTATTATTATCTGCTTACCATTGGACACCTCGGGGACAGTAACCGTAGCTAAACACTAACGCTGAAGCATCCCTCTCTTCATGCTCCAGTGCCTCCTTGCAAGAGTGGGCACAGATTCCCTCCGACCATGAAAGCCTGCATGTCTTGAACCTCCTGGGGTTGTGGGCAGCCTGCTTATTGTGCCGGCAGATGTCAACAGCACCCGGGCAATATGGGGCTTTATTAAGGTCAAGAGTACTACTAATGTGTTGTTGACCTTTTTGACCTCTCCATCTCTGAGACAGTCTGCAGCTTTTAGCAAAAACTGGAAAGCACTAAAAATGAAGCTTCTATGCCAAGTTTCCAGAAGTACCTGGGTAGCTAGTGACATGTAAAAATACCTGTGCCTAAAATGAGAGCTTTATCCAACTTCAAGGCATCACCTACTTGCGTTTTGAAGATCCAAACACATTTCTAGTTACACTATCAACATTAATCTTTGGGTTTTACTAATACATAACTAGTTTGTGGAGGACCACATAGCTTCACTGCAAGTGAAGACAACTATGACTGTATGTTATCAGTCATTAAGAGCTGTGTAGATGTGGTTTTGGGGTGGAAAGGGCTGAAAAGGCCCCAACGGCCGGGCCTGGCGGCAGCTTGCCTTCGCCAAAGGATAAATCCACTTAATTCTTTGCGCGGAGCTGCCGAGGGCAGGAGGGAGCAGCCCACCGCACTCCCGGCACTTCTCCCCTCTCCTTTCCGCTGCGGGGAGCGAAGCCAAGACGGCTGCTTCGCTTCGAAAAGCGACACCACGGCCCTTTCCTTGGCTACGTGCAGATCCAGCGGAGCAAACCGCACCGGAGGAAGAGTTTGGAAGCTTTAAAGAGGAGCAGGGCAAAAATAAACGCCGGGAGATGTCTGACGTCAGCCGACCCCGCTGCGGCAGCACCGTTTTGCCGCTGCCGGATCAGTTTTCTGTACGGCGGCGGCACGCTCCGTGCACGGGGCACACGTTGAGCGCTGACCGTGTTTACGGGTTCTCCTCCTTCGCCTGCCTCTCGCTGCATCCCTCCCCACACTTTTCCCCGCACCGCGGTTGCCGAAAACCACCACGGCGTCTTCCAAGGCTCACGGCTTGGCAGGAGAGCCCGGACGGGCCCGGTGCGGCTGGCGAGGGAAAAGAGCTCTCTCTGGAGGTGGGAGAGGGACTTTGCACCGGGACCCGTCGCCTCTGACCGCAATCCGATAACGAAACCGCAGTAATATTTAACACACCCCGTCACATCCCGAACCGTAACCCTTCAGTCGCAGGCAGGCGCCTGGGTTTAATTATGCCGAAATACCGGGAGGTGACCTGTCAACATCAAGCCCAAATAGCTACGTAGGCGTAGTCGTGCTACTCGTTACGCCAAAACCAAGTTCCAACTGAGAAATTTAAAGCTTCCCGCTATTGAAATAATAATAATAATAATAAAATAAGAGAGCGCTCGCTCTCTTCCCATCTCTTTCTCTGACAATTCAGCCACTTCGGTGGGTTACGGACCAGCACCCACCTTCACGACTGCGAGTTTCAGAATAAATAAAACCCGTAACGCTTCAAATCTGGCGTCTAAAACGCCACCAAACCCTTTCCCACCGTAGGTAAGACGAGATGGGAGACGTCGGCAGCCCTCGCCGGACCCACCTCGACCTCCTCGCGCTGGTACGGGGGTGGGCGGTGCCCACCGCGTCGCAGAGAGGACTCTCGCAACGAGTCGCTGCCCACCCGCCCCCGCTGCACCGCGGTGGTGGCTTTGGTGCCCCTACCAGAGCCGTCACCCGCTCCTCCTTCCAAAAGCGAGGTGATGGCACTCGACTACAGCCAGAGCGACCCCTGAGTCCCGCTCGTCGCTCTGGGCAAGTTTAAATTCCACCTACGGAGGAAGGGAATTGCCCTACGCAAAGAATTAAGGCCGCACAGGAACGCTTCTAGCACCTACGGCGTGTAAAGCAAGCGCCAAAGCGGCGCTCTCCAGAGCCCACCACGCTCGGCATCGGCCACCGAACGCCCAACGGGCCACCAACACGGTGGCCACCACCCAGCGGGGCTCTGCTTACCTGCTGGAGGAACATCTGCATGGAGTCCTGGTTGATGACGGCTCCGGCGGCCGCCTGCCCCAGGATGATCTTCTCCGGGCTGGAGGCCAAACTGGGGCTGGGTTGGGAAGTCACCGGCTGCTGGGCGGGCGGCGGCGGCGGCGGGACGTTGAGTTGGAGCGGCGCGGGCGGCTGGGAAGCGGTTTGGACGGTGAGGATGGAGGACTGGTCGGCGCTGGGCAGAAGGCTGGCGCCAGAGGCGGGCCGGGGGGGGACGGGGGCCGGAGGTTGGTGCCAGAGGCGGGCTGGGGCTGGACGAGGCCGGGGCTTTGGCTGGTGGTGGTGGCGGAGGCTTGGATGCTCACCGCCTGGCCCAGGTTCTCGGTGGCGTTGAGCATGGCCACCTGGTTGGGCAACGTCACCCCCTGGATCACCGTCTGACCCGTTTGGCCCAAGGAAGCGGCCACAGAAGGTTGGCTCTGCGTGGTCAAGCTGCCGGCCAGCGAAACGGGCATCTGGAAGAGAGCCGGTTGACCCACCTGGCCGGGCTGGAGCTGGATGGGAGCCGAGAGGATGTGAGCGGTGCCGTGGGCGTTCTGCGAGGTGAGCACTTGGCCCAGGTTCAGCTGGCCGGCGATGTTCTGGTTGGTGAGGATTTGGGCCGGCAAGGCTTGGTTGGTTAACAGCTGTCCGCCCGGCCCTTGGCTAGTTATGATATGGGCTTGCCCGCCGGGGTGGGAGGCGGTCAGGATCTGCCCTCCCATGTTGGCCTGCAGGGCCGAGAGCTGTTGGGGTATCTGCACGGCGGAGGCGCCGGCCAACTGCCCGGGGAGGAGGAACTGGTTCTGGCCCTGCAGCATGGCCTGCGGGACGTGCTGGGCGGGGATGACGATGCTGCTGCCCTGGTTCAGCAAGTGGACGCTCATGGGCTTGCTGAGGGCTTGCTGCTGCGGCGGCGGCTGCTTGAAGACGTTGGCTGGAAGCCCTTGGGGGAAGCCCGACAGCACCACGTTCTGCCCGGGTTTGCCGGCCATGAAGGTCAGGTTCTGCTGAGCCTTCTGCTGCTGCAGGGCGGCTTCGTTCTGGATGGTGAGGGTGGTGTTGTTGGAACCGAAGGGTTTGGGGGTGATCTGGTAGAGTTTCTGCTGGAGGACGCCAGCGGGTTTGGGCTGAATCGGGGTGGGCGTCCTGTGAATGATGACGTTTTGGGCCTGCACCAAAGGGCTGCTCAAGTTGGAGGTGACGGTGAGCGGTTGGGAGCCTTGAGTCCCGGACACGCTGCCGAACATGGAGTTGCCGTTCAGCGTCGTGGTGGCCACCGTCGGCAAGTTCTTCTGGATGACGAGACCGGCGCTCTGCGGAGAGACCCCCGTGGAGGCGAGGGTGACCTGCTGCTGCTCGGGCGCCGTCTGGGTGATGTAGCTGCCGACGGGCATGGTGGCCACTTGGGAGGGCTGAACCTGCTTGGCGATGATCTGCTGCGCCGACTGGTTGATGGCCATCACTTGCTGCCCCACCACCTGAATCGGCCCGATTCCCAGCGTCCCGCTGGGGCTGCCGTTGGGCAAACCCTGGAGGTTGGAGATGGGCTGGATGGTGACGTTCCCCAAGCCCACTTGCTGGAGGAAAGGTTGAACGCTGATGGCCTTGTTGACCACATCTGCTCCTACCGACTGCTGCACCAGGGCTTGGTGGGTGAGGACGGCGGGTTGCTGCAGCCCAATGAGGTCGGCGCCGCCGGAGAAGATCTGCGGGGTGCCGTCGGAGGCCGTCTGCACCACCGGCTGAAGGGTGGGAAGCTGGAAGGAGCCCAGGTCCAGCTCGGCCTCCGCCTCCAGCGTCTGCTCGGTGATGTTCGCCTCTTGCAGGCTCTGCTGGAGGATGTCGCAGGGCTGGTCCGAGTTCTGCAGGTTGGCCCCGCCGCTGGACGGCGACCCCAGGATGTCATCTTCTAAAAAGTCGAGGTCCACGCTGGTGGTGGGCTGACTCTGCTCGGTGCTCAGGTGGTTGCCGGAGGACTCTTGGACGTGCAGCTGGGAGGATTGGCTGGTGGGAGGGGAGAAGAGAGAAGACAGGCATTGAGCTGGAGAGGAGCCGCGGGGAGCAGCGCCTCCGCTCGCTAAGCGGCCGGGAGCGTTTCGGCATCCCGAAATTAACGCCCGACGTCGTTTGAGAGCGGGCGAGCCGGCCACCAAACGACGGGCTTTAAGCGAGGGAGGGGGCCGAGGGCAGAGGTGGCTCAGGGGTGACGTTTTCGTGCGTCAAGCCACCAAAAAGAAGAGTTCTGCGCACAAACCCCCTTGCCTCTCTTGCTCTTAAAAGAGCTTCCATATCGGAAGCGGGAATGTCATTGTTTTGGTGAGAAGCTTAAAAACGCCACGAAAACGGAGCCCTTTTCTCGCAGGAGACCTCCGAGCAGCGGCAGAGGGGCCGCGCCGGGAAGAATCACGGAAATCTGGGAGGGGAAAAGCACCATGCAGCCTAACCTGGGACCCCACCGGCACGGCGCGACGCCGTCAGGGTCTGCCAGGCACACGGGTGGACCGGGAAGTTAAAAAAAAATAAAATTAAATTAAAAAAAAAAAATAAAAATAAAATATCAAAGAAGAAGTAAACCTCAACTGGTTATAAAGCATCGGCAGCTTTACCCAAAGTTGGCGTAAAAAAATAAAAGCGCGATGGAAGAACAAAAAAAATGAAAAAAAAAAATAAAAATAAAATATCAAAGAAGAAGTAAACCTCAACTGGTTATAAAGCATCGGCAGCTTTACCCAAAGTTGGCGTAAAAAAATAAAAGCGCGATGGAAGAACAAAAAAAATGAAAAAAAAAAATAAAAATAAAATATCAAAGAAGAAGTAAACCTCAACTGGTTATAAAGCATCGGCAGCTTTACCCAAAGTTGGCGTAAAAAAATAAAAGCGCGATGGAGGAACAAAAAAAATGAAAAAAAAAAATAATATTAAGATTCTTATGGAAATAGAGAAAAAAAAAAATAAATTCATGCTTGAATGTTATCCATGCAGAGTGACCCATGCTCTTGGGGGGAAAGGAGGGGAAAAATAAAAGAGGATTTTTTTAGAATTGACTTCCACGTATTTCCCCTTCGCTGCGGCAGCAAGGCAAGGGAGCGCGCCAGGCCGAGGGGGAACCGGGAGGGATTTTTCCCAAACTCACAAACTCTTTTTGAACTTCCAAATAATCCAAATTTATCTCTGCGGGGGGGGATATGGGAGCGTGGTGGCATCTTTGGCTTTGTTCAGCCTCAAAGCTCTGCCCGGGCTTAAAAGCAGATTTTTTTTTGCCCCGTCTGCACGTGAAATCAAAGTTTTCTCCCCCATCGCACGGGGGACCTGTGGGAGCTATTTCTCTAGAAATCTTGGGGAATAATCCCTGCCTCCTGGGCTAGACCTGGGAAACAGATGAAAAACAAGCCTGGGAAATGAAAAAAAAAAAGAAAAAAAAACCAAGGAAATCTGGTGTGCAGATTGCCTTTCCTACTTTTTGTATAGTGAAGAGCCAAACAGATTTGCTCTGCCATCTTTATTTCTTCTAAAACTGTTTGCCAAGTAATATGTCTTATCTTAAAACAGGGAGTTGGGTTTTTTCCACTATTTGGTTAGTTGTTGTTAAATAAACTCTGGATTAAAAAAAAAAAAAAAAAAAAAAAAAAAGAAAAAAGCGTGTGGGGGGGGAAATAAAAATAATAAAAAAATAAAAATGAGTGAAGGGCTGACGGGCAGCGCCTGGAAAGCGCCGAGCTCTCCCCCCGGGGGCAGCGGCGCGGCAGCGTCCCTCCCCGGCCCCGGCTCCTGCCGGC